GGCCGAAGCCTAGCTACTATTAAGACAAAATACGACAGGGATAAACTACCCCAATAATGTCATGCTCGAGCCACTCTTAGATAACTTAGACCCAATGAGATACCCCAATATATGTGGCGTGGACTATTTTTTTGGGCTAACTTAGACCCAATGAGATACTCAACTTCGCCACTCTTGGGAAAATTTCATAACTACCCTTTGATTAAAAGGATATTCTAATAATACATCATCCAAGTAGAATTCCGTAAATACTCTTTTCTTCCAAATACAAAACATGAATAAAAAAAACTGTAAATAAATAACTGTTCTCACTAATTTTTAATCTCTTTTCATTTTCCCTTTCTCTTTTTAACCTTTTTTTTCTTCTTCTTCTCTTCTCTTCTTTTTCTTCTTGTTCTTCTTCTTCAATCATCATTAATGTCTAAGTAAATTACTGAAGTGGCGCTCGCATCCAACAAGGAATATTCCTCAAAGCAACCCTTTGTTCTCTTGTAGTAATGACCAGAATCAGAGATCAATAGAAACAACTGTCAAACAACATAAAAAAAAACCATATAAACTATTAAACAACATAAAAACAACTATCAAACAACATAAAAAAACTACAATAACAACTATTAAACAACATAAAAACAAATATAACATATGTCAAACACATACAAACACGAATAACAATTCATCCCACAATTCACTAATTTATTAGTCATCGAGGCTCGTATGATGGAGACGAATAAAGAATGCAGAACTATTTAAATAACTAAATAAAACAAATTGATAAAAACAAAATGTTATAGAATAACAAAAAACTAACAAAAAGAAACCAATCCAAGAAGAACGATTCAGATGAGTGGCGATTTGCGATTCGATTCCAGTCTACTGGGTTCCAACTCGTTTGAGATTCCAGATTATAAGCCACTATAAGCACTTTTATGTTAAAAAAAAATCTGAATTTTGCGATTATAGTGCTAAATTTTAAAATGGATTTTTTTTTTTGGTAAGAAATTATATGCACACGCATAAATCAGTAGAATATATATATAAAAAAAGCAACAAG